TAGAGTAGGTGTCACCTCCGCGAAGTAGTGACGTCACCTCCAAGAGTAGTGACGTCACCTCCAAGAGTAGTGACGTCACCTCCAAGAGTAGTGACGTCACCTCCAAGAGTGGTGACGTCACCTCCAAGAGTGGTACGTCCACTCTCCAAGAGTTAGTGACGTCACCTCCAAGAGTAGTGACGTCACCTCCAAGCGAGTAGTGACGTCACTCTCCAAGGTAGTTTAGACGTCACCTCCTAAGAGAGGATAGTGACCTCTGTGCAGTGCATCCCTCCTCAGCAGGGGCAATCCCTACTCAGAGGGCATCCCTCACTCAGGGCATCCCTACTCAGCAGGGCATCCCTGTCTTCTACAGCCAGGGCATCCCTGTTTCAGCAGGGCATTCCCTGTTCAGCAGGGCATCCCTGTTCAGCAGGGCATCCCTACTCAGCAGGGCATCCTACTCAGCAGGCATCCCTACTCAGCAGGGCATCGCTACTCAGCAGGGCAGCCCTACTCAGCAGGCATCCCTACTCAGCAGGGCATCCCTACTCAGCAGGGCATCCCTACTCAGCAGGGCATTATTCTCAGCAGGGCATCCCTGTCAGCAGGCATCCCTACTCAGCAGGGCATCCCTACTCAGCAGGGCATCCCTACTCAGCAGGGCATCCCTACTCAGCAGGGCATCCCTACTCAGCAGGGCATCCCTCCTCAGCAGGGCATCCCTGTTCAGCAGGGCATCCCTGTTCAGCAGGGCATCCCTGTTTCAGCAGGGCATCTCCTACTCAGCAGGGCATCCCTATCAGCAGGGCATCCCTACTCAGCAGGGGCATCCCTGTACTCAGCAGGGCATCCCTACTCAGCAGGGCATCCCTACTCAGCAATGGTGCATCCCTACTCAGCAGGGCATCCCTGTTTCAGCAGGGCTCCCTGTTCAGCAGGGCATCCCTCCTCAGCAGGGCATTCCCTGTCTCAGCAGTCCTCCCTGCTCAGCAGGGCATCCCTGCTCAGCAGGGCATCCCTCCTCAGCAGGGCATCCCTCCTCAGCAGGGCATCCCTACTCAGCAGNGAGAGAGAGGGAGAGAGAGAGAAGAAGAGAGAGAGAGAGAGAGGAGAAGACAGACAGACAGACAGACGACAGACAGACAGACAAACGAGAACAGAGACAGAGACAGAGAGAGCGAGAGAGAGAGAAGAGAGAAGAGAGAGAGAGAGAGAGAGAGAGAGAGAGAGAGAGAGAGAGAGAGAGAGAGAGAGAGAGAGAGAGAGAAGACAGACGATCAGACAAACAGAGAGACAGAGACACAGAGACAGAGACAGAGACAGAGACAGAGAAGCGAGAGAGCAAGAGAGCAGAGAGCAAGAGAGGAGAGAGAAGAGAGAGAGAAGGAGAGAGAAGAGAGAGAGAGAGAAGAGAGAGAGAGAGAGAGAAGAGAGAGAAGGAGAAAGATAAAAGAGGGGGAGAGGAGAGTCAACAAAACTAGTCGATGCAGCAAGAAAGTCAGGGCCAAGGAGAAAAAGGTGGATCGGGGTGGGGTCGAGGGAGAGGAGGGGGGTGGGCGACAACGCCGCGTAGGAGTATATAGGAGAGAGGAGAGAAGGTGAAGGAAAAAGCGAGGCCACAATTCTATCAACAGAAAAAGAGAGAAAAAAGACAGAAAAAAAAGAAGAAAATAAAAAAAGATAAGACAATGGGAACTTTTTGGACAATTTCCGCTCTCCGGTCGAGTGAGGCAGTACAAGATGTCCGCGACCCGCAGCGCCCTCTCTTTTGAACCTTCTTAACGAGATCCAACACCACTCCGCCCCTGTGTATAGGACTGGAAGGTTTTTCAAATAGGATCCCGGGAGGCAGACCTGATGTGCCATTGATAGGCGGCTCCGGGACTCCGGGCTGCGTCCAGATCTTTGTGAGGGGGGGAGGGGAGGGAGGGGAGGAGAGAGGTGGGGGTGGGGAGGAGGGGAAGGAGAGGGAGGGAGGTAAGGGTGGGTGAAGGAAAAAGGAAGGGGGAAGGAGGTAAGGTGGTGAAGAAAAGAAGTAAAGGGAGGACGGAAGTAAGAGTGGGGAGGAAGAGGAAGGAGGGAGGATGGAGGTTAGGAGGTGTGTAGGAAGGGAAGGAAGGAGGTAAAAAGGGGGGGGAGGCAGAAAGGGGAGGAAGAGGTGGCAGAAGAAGAGGGTGGTTGAGGAAAAGAAGTGGGGGTGAGGGGGATGGGAATGAGGGTTTAATGGAAAAGAGGAGAAGGAGGAGCGCCAGGATGGAGAGGGTGTGTGTGGGGAGGGGGGAGGGGGAACGAAATGGGAGGGAGGAAGAGAAAGAAAGATGAAGAAGGAGGAGGGGAAGGCGGCGAAAGGTGAAGCAGGAAAGGAAGGGAGGGAGGCTGAAGGAGGAAGTAGGCAGGAAGAGAGGACGAAAAAGAGGGAGGTTGAATTAGGAAAGAGGCATAGGAAGAGTGAAAGAATGGGACGAGAGAAGTGGAAGGAAAAGGAAAGCAGGGAGAAGGAGAGCGAGATGAAATTGGGGATTAAGAGAATGAAGGAGCTGGAAGGGGCAAGGAGGAGGAGGAGGGAGGGGAGACGCAGGAACAAGAAAGAGAAAGAAGGGAGAACAGTATGATATAATATGATACTACTAATATATATAATTATATAACTATATATATATAAATATATATATATATAACATATATAACTATAATAATATAATACTATATAAAGAGAGAAAGAGAGAGAGAGAGAGAGACGAGGGAGAGAGAGAAGAAAGCGAAATAACAGAAACAGAGATAGAGAAGAGAGAAGAGCAGAAGAAGCGAACACAGAAACCAGAGACAGAGAGAAGAAGCGACTCGCCCCAGCCGTTCCCGTCCTGTCGAGACACCCGGGGGGGGGGGGGAAATGAGGAGCTTCCTTCGCGATAAAGAGAGTTTATCTGTCATAACTCCGAGGGGCGAGGGGCCGACGGCCCACCGCCTTTCCCCTCCGCCGTGATATCGCCCGAATACTCGGTCTCCGCGACACAAAGGCGCGAGGGAAAAAAAAGAGATTGGATATGGAGGCGGATGTGACGGCGCTGCGAGCAGGAGACTGGCAGGGCGGCGCCGGCGGTGGGCGGGCGAAAGCGCGGCGGGGGCGGCGGGCGACGAGGGGCGGTGGGGAAAGAACGGGAGGTAGCG